CCTACCTCCTACGTCGTACGACGACCACCTACCTACCTTACGTACTACTATACAGAGGAGGACGACGACGACGACACGTACGTACGTACGTAAGTAGAGAGAGAGAGAGAGAGAGAGAGAGAGAGAGTAGAGAGGTTGCAAGCCTAAAGAGACTTTGTCCAAATCGTGTTGGTACACAGCCAGAGGGCTTCGTAACTATTCTAAGAGGGCCAACTCCCCGAACCCCAAGCGGTGAGGTTAGCACCTCAAAGCACTCCCGCTATAAAAAAAATCTCTTCCATTGTTCATGCCTATCAGCCCACAGGAGCCCTGCACACCCCCGTGCACCCCTTACTGTTGCACACCCTCATCTCCCCACTGTTGTCCAAGAGAGGGTTCTCATCCTGACCCACCGAGAACCAGGTCCAACCAGTACTGCCTCCTCATAGTGCCTTTGTAGAAGGTCGAATCTTGACTGCAAGTCTCCAAATGTCTCCTCTCCCCGAACTAACTCCATGCGCAAATGAACGAAACTCTCAAACCATAAGGATCGAAAGATAAAGGATTGTACTGACTTATAGTACGCCCGATAATATTCTCCTGTCACCTTCAAGGATACCATCAGAGGTACAACAACCTAAAGATCATACCATTGACCCATCGAAGAATGAAAGGCTCCATGTCGAGCCAATACAGTTGATCATGGCGAAATAGAGGGACGACGAAGATAGGGATATGTGAAAGCTTAACCTAGGAATGGTCGAAGTGCCTAAGCAACCAACCAGGATGATAGGCCTCGATGATCTCCATGAAAATGAGATGGGCAGTCATACAAAAAACATGGCGGGATTTTTGCACAACAGGGGGTTCTCGTCACCAACGTAGGGGTACCAATCAAATTACATCAAGAAGATGTCAAAAGGTCAAAAAATATTGGGTGATCAAGGAAATAAAGGAGGGGATAATACTGAAATGAGCGAACAAGGAAGACATACCTCCCTCTCCTCCAATAGATTAAAAACTAGGGTATAATGGGGCACTGTAAAACTCTGGACCTTCTCTCGCAAACCATGGGCCTAACAGTGACTATGGAGGAACCGTTTGCCATCATCTAAAGGAATGGGGCGAGTAACAACAATATGTTCCCATGCCTAAAGCTGCACCACCAAAAGGGTTAAGATGGCAGTATGGATTGACCAACAAAAGGAGAAAAAGATTGTATAAAAAAGAAGGCTACAATTTCAAGATCGCTGGAGAAAGGCAGTGAACCTTACAACGTATTGCCCCTCCACCATCCCCAGGAGGAGCAAGAAAGAGGAGCACCCCGAGAAGATACAATAAGAACCCTCTAAGGGCCCACTCATCCTCAGAAGATAAGTCACCATCCCCAGGAGGGTCAAAAGAAGGGTTGAAAATTTCCATGCCTCTCTCAGCCGGGACCTCTCCCCCCTAAATAGGAGGAGTGACCTCAAGTCCAGGTACCCCCTCATTCGTACCAGGGCAAATCATGGCCAAAGGAATAACATCGTCCACAATGCCCTTAAAAAGCTCCTCTGAAGGACCACCCTCAACCGATGCACCTACGCGAGGACGTCGACCTCTCTCCATGGTAGTCCCACCAGCCTCGCGGGTCGCCTTGTGGCCTACAGAAGAGCTCTCAACATCATCACTAAAACGGCCTGCATGAGGAACCCTACGAATGTCATAGTGGGAACATCAACCTCATCTCCGTCTGTCTCAAAACATAGGTCCTCAGATGCGGCATCAGCGGGGACATCAACCTCATCTATCTAGATGCCTTCCCCAAGAGGAACCTCCACTCCATCCACCGGTACCTCCCTTACCCGAGCCGCATGCTCTAAGAACAACAGTTTGTGGGCCCAAAAATGAAGAGTGCTCTTTGAATGAGCATCTAACTCCTCAGGAGAGAAATTAATTCATCCCAAAGCTTTCAAATACTATGTGTTGGGTATACGCCCATTTCTGTGCCTTTACCCCTTTAGAGGGATCTGACCTAGCAAAGCCTGAACATCAGCCCAATTTGACTGACCTGTAGTAGGGGGCTCACATAGGAGAGGTTTCCCCTCACTTCTGACCCCTAATATGTGAGTCACATCCTCTAAGGTTGGCCCCACCTCGCCATAAGAAAACGGGATGGTTCCCATCTCAAGATGAAACCGGTGTACAAGAGCACTAATTAAAGGGCATATCAAGAGGGAAATGTTTTATTCTGCAAACCTCCCAAAGGCCGACCTTCATCACCTCTCGGATCAACCGAGGAGATAACCTCTCAAGCCACATACAGTTACCATACAAATGGCTAAAGGTCTTTAAAGGTGTGAACTAAGGAATGAAAAACAGAAGAAGATAATGTTCATAGAGAGTACTCAATCCAGGGGTTGCCACTAGGATAAGGGAGGAAAACGAATCAAATCCAAAGCAACTATTATCTATATAAATACATCCCTAAGACCTAGGGATAGTAAACAAAGGCTCTAAAGGCCTCGCTCCAATCTACCCTACGATTGAAATAGTCTCGATGTAAGGACCCGGACTTTTCCGGTGTGATTGTAGTGTGTCGGTGAGTCGTCGACACGAGTGCGCTTTGGAACGTGTAGGTAGGCAAGTCTGCGTTAGAACGTGAGTGTGTACGTGAAGTTTGGCGTGGGTGTGTGAACGCGTGGTTAGGCGCAGGTGAACCAACGCGCTATTGAGTGCGAGCAGATGAGTGGTGGGCATGGTGTTGTTGAGTGCGGATAGCTGGACACACGTTGAGGGCACAGGCTGATGAGCATGCTGCTGAGCATGGGTGGTGTACAGTAGTCCAAGGGGAACGTTTCTCTCTCATGATTGCATGATCTCTCTGACTATCCTTGCACACAAGCATGCTCCAGCCCATAATGATGATGTCTCCAATGCTTGCTCCCTCTCTCTCCTATTACATGCCACTTTTTAATTGCATGCTTCCATCCCATTATGATGTCTCTCATGCTTGCCCTTCTCTCTCTCCTCATGCATGTCCTCATGGATGCCATGTGGCAATTGCATGCTGCCACCACCTAATCGTACTTATACCCCCTTCACACCCATTCTTTGGGATTGCTCCCTCTCCCTACTCACTGCTCTCTCTCACCCACGTTCTCCCCCTATTACCTTAAGACTTTGAGCTTTGAGACCTTTTCCTGCCTTAAGCCCTTGAGTTTGAACCCAATCTTGCGGAGCATGGTAGTTGAAGTGAAACTTGTGGAGAAGTTTAGAGTTTCATTTGGTGCATGTAAGTGGATCTGATTTTCATATTTTCTTGCTTTAGATTGATCCATGTTTGTTTAGCTTATCAAAGTATGAGATTTAAGTACGAGTATTGGTGTGAAAATGGGTGTGGATGCATGTTACTGAAATCCTGCTAGAGTGTACTCTGTTTTTCAGAACTATGACTCCAGTTTCAGAAACTATTTGAGTATCTTATATATCTCCTTAGATTATGAAATTTTGTGGAACCATAGCTCATTGAGTCTATTTTATCATGGAAATGACCTCTTATTAATATCCCTTTTGGTTTAAAAGTTATTTACCATTTTCTAAAGCATATCAGATTTGTAAAATGAAATTGAAGGGATTTAATGGGACTTTGTATGGAGCTTCCAATAACCAAAACACATCAGAATGAGGTCAAACTACTTTTAAAAGAACGATAAATGAGTCTATTTTGAAAATGGTTTTGAATCCTGATACAATTCCCTATGGTTTGAAAGATATACCCATTTTTCTATTAAAATATCGCACTGGGTTTTCTGCTGTGAAGAGAGGAACGTTGTTCAAGAACACCAAATAGTTTAGCAAACTTTAACCCAACATTTGGGGTTACCCCCTTCATGAAAGTTGTATTTTCATGAGCCTAGATTGATATGAAAGTAGTCTCAGGTCCAAATGACTTTTTTATCTCATGATATACCTTTATAAGTGGACCGTGTTCACTGTGAAAAACAAAGAAAATAACCAGAAGATGTCTTTTGAGCTAATGAGCCTGATGATATGTAGTATGCTTTGGACATATTGTTATTTCATATGAACTTCTCTATTATGATATGTTTGCATGAAATCATAATGAGGAATACTCTGCTATGGAATGAATGCATGCTCTGTTATGAAATAAATGCATGACAATGAGGCATATTCTGTTATGAAATGAAAGTATGCTTCGTTATGTTATGAAAACATGTAGTAAGACATGCTTTGTTGTGATATGAATGTATAATAATAAGATATGCTTTGTTATGTTATGAATGCATGTAATAAGACATGCTTTGTTGTGATATGAATGCATGATAATGAGATATGCTTTGTTATGTTATGAATGCATGTAGTAAGATATGCTCAGCTATGATATGAATGCATGTAGTAAGACATGCTCTGTTATGTTATGAATGCATGTTGTAAAACATTCTTTATTATGATATGTGTACATGATTATGATACATGTTTTGTTGTGACTTGTGTGCATGATTTTGAGACATGCTATGTGATATGCGATAAGACTTGTATGGTCAGCAATGTGATATGTGATAAGACATATGTGATCAACTATGTGATATGTGATAAGACCTGTGTGGTCAGCTATGTGATATGTGATATGTGATAAGACATGTGTGGTCTGCTATGTGATATGTGTTATGTGATAAGATCTGTGTGGTCAAATATGTGATATGTGATATGTGATATATGATAAGACCTGTGTTGTTTGTTATGTGATATGTGATATGTGATAAGACCTGTGTGGTCAGCTATGTGATATGTGATTAGACTTGTGGGGTCAACTATGTGATATATGATATGTGATAAGACCTGTGTGGGTAGTCATGTGATATATGAATGGGCACCTACTATGTGAATGATGGTGCCAATAGCTGCCCTTATGGGAAGGGCACCTACTGTATGAATGATGGTACCGGTAGCTGCCTGACATGCTTCTGGTGTGATATGTGCACAGAGGAATATGTTGCTCATGTGATATGTGAATAGGCACCTACTATATGAATGATGGTGCCGGCAGCTGCCTGTTTGGGAAGGGCACCAACTGTGTGAATGATGGTGTCGGTCGCTGCTTGACATGCTTCTAATGTGATATATGATTTGTCAGCATGCTTTGAGCGTATTGCATTGCCCGACTTGTGACCTCTCCAGCTCACCCAATGATAAGACAAGAGTTGGGGTAGATGATATTTGGGTGGTCGCTCCCCCATTCATAGTGGTTGGCACCTAGACAGTGTAACACTCCTAACAAGGTGGCGTAAGGGATAGTGTCCTGCAAGGCCATCGCTTATCGAAAGCCCCAAAAGCTCACTGACGATTGTGTGTGTGTGTGTGTGTGTGTGTGTGAAAACATTACAAACTGGATTCTCCCATCTATAATTGTTTTCCCTCCTGAGTGATAGTAGAAGTCTTAAGTAATGGGTTTAGCTTGGCCTGATGGAGGACTATAAATAGCTGAAAGATGGAGGTGACAGGTAAAGAAGGTCTTTGAAGTTTTGCATTCTTTTGAAGAGCAAAATTTTAGATTGGGGACATTTATGCTAGAAGGGGATTTCGAGCATTCGTGGAGTTCGGTGAGACAGTCCTGGGTGGAGACAGGGATTACGGCCACTTGGAAGAACTTCCTAGTGGCATTTAATGAGGAGTATTTCCGTGATTCTGTCCGAGAGAGGAAGGAAGTGAAATTTATTGAGCTGCAGCATCGGAGATTGTCGGTAGAACAGTATGCAGCCAAGTTTGCGGAGCTCTCTTCGTATGTGCCTCATATCATGGACACAGAGGCGTGTATGGAGAGCAAGTTTGAGAGGGGCCTCAGGCCAGATATTCGAGGGAGAGTAATGTCAGCCAACCTTAAGGCATTCTCCCCATTGACGAAGCCTGAGAATAAATCAAAGACTCAAGGTCCACTCACGAAATAGGAGGATAAGGCTTCTACCTCAGAGATCCGAGGTAAGCTCTTTGTTTGTGAATGAGATGTTAAATCTTGATAAAACCTGGTTCTTCTCATTCTTTGTTGCACCTTGTGTTTGCATGTCACCTGAGCATGAGTCTGCACCTCTTAATCATACCTTAGTAGTGACCACACCTTCTTAGGGGACTCTTTAGTGACTGGCTCAAAGTTTAGGTACTGTGAGGTACAATTGGGAAGTAGAGTCTTGCCCATAAATTTGATTTTTTTTGGCGTTTAGGATTTTTACTTCCTCCTGAGCATAGGATGGTTGTTTGTTCATCATGCGTCAATAGATTGCTTGGAGAAGAGTGCCCCTTTCAGACCCCCATTTATTTGATTAGTAGATATATGATTTTGGGACCAAAATACTTCTTAAGGGGGGGATGATGTAAGGACCCAGACTTTTCTAGTGTGGTTGTAGTGTATCGATAAGTCGCCCGCATTTTACACGTGTAGGTACTCGAGTCCGCGTTAGAATGAGGTGTGTATGCGCAGTTTGGTGCGGATGTGTGAACACGTAGTTAGGCGCGGGTGAAGCAACGCGCTGTTGAGTACATGTGGATGAGTGCGTGGGTGAGCATGGCACTGTTGATAGTGGATGGATAGGCGCACTAGCGAGCGCAAATAGCTGGACGCACGTTGAGGGAATGGGCCGATGAGCGCGTCACTGGGCGCGGGTAGTGTACAGTAGTCCAAGGGAAACTGTTCTTTCTCATGATTACATGATCTCTTTCTCTCCATACATGTGTGGCATGTGGCACAAGCATTCTCCAGCCCATAATGATGATGTCTCCCATGCTTACTCCCTCTCTCTCCTCTTGCATGCCACTTGTCAATTGCATGCTTCCATCCCATGATGATGTCTCCCATGTTCTCTCGCTCCTCATGCATGCCCTCATGGATGCCATGTGGCAATTGTATGTTGCCACCACCTAAGCTTACTTATACCCCCTTCACAGCCATTCATCTCTCTCTCCACTCATTGCTCTCTCCCACCCACGTTCTCCCCATCTTGCCTTACGATTTTGAGCTTTGAGACGTTTCCCAGCCTTAAGCCCTTGAGTTTGAACCCAATCTTGTGGAGCTTGGTAGTTGAAGTGAAACTTGTAAAGAAGTTTAGAGTTTTATTTGGTACATATAAGTGGATCTGGTTTCTATATTTTAATGCTTTAAATTAACGCAATGTTTGTTTAGCTTATCAAAGTATGAGATTTAAGTATGATTATTGGTGTGAAAATGGGTGTGGATGCATGTTACTGAAATCCTAGTAGAGTGTACTCTGTTTTTCAGAACTATGGCTCCGGTTTAAGAAACTGTTTGAGTATCCTATATATCCGCTTAGATTATGAAATTTTGCGAAAACGTAGATCATTGAGTCTATTTTATCATGGAAAATACCTCTTGTTAATATTCTTTTTGGTTTAAAAGTTATTTACCATTTTTTGAAGCATGTCAAATTTATGAAATGAAATTCCAGGGATTTAATGGGTTTTGTGTGGAGCTTTTCAATAATCAAAACACAGCAGAACGTTGTCAAATTACTTTTAAATGAAAGATAAATGAGTCTATATTGAAAATGGTTGTGAACACTGATAAAATTCCTTATGGTTTGAATGTTATGCCCATTTTTCTATGAGAACATCACACTGGGTTTTCTGTTGTGAAGACATAAACTTTATTCAAGAACAACAAATAGTTTGGCATACTTTAACCCGACATTTGAGGTTACCCCCTTCATAAAAGTTGTATTTTCAAGAGCCTAGATTGTTATAAAAGTGGTCTCATGTCCAACTGATATTTTTATTGCATAATATTCCTTTATAAGTGGGCCATGTTCACTGTGAAAAGCCAGAAAAATAAATGGAATATGTCTTTTGAGCTAATGAGCCTGATGATATGTAGTATGCTTTGGACATATTGTTGTTTCATATGAACCTGTCTCTATTATGATATGTGCGCATGAAAGCATGCTCTGTTATGAAATGAAGGCATGACAATGACGCATACTCTGTTATGGAATGAATGCATGCTCTGTTATGAAATAAATGCATGACAATGAGGCATATTTTGTTATGAAATGAAAGTATGATTTTTTATGTTATGAATGCATGTAGTAAGACATGCTTTTGTTTGAACACATCTTTCAGTACCTTGGCTCCCCGATTCGGAATAAAGAGAAGTCAGTCAATAACGCCTTGATTTACAGTGGAATTCTAAACAGTCTCATAATTGTTCCAAAACAGTTGAAGATGTTCTTAAGGACTGCAAAAGGCCACCTGCTAAGTTTCGTCGCAATTCGACATGTCTAAGGCAGTACAGACAAAGAAACATTTTTAGAAAAATCAGTCTCTAGCACCCTGAAACGAACCTTATAACTGGAACCCCATTAACGGAGCATCAAATTGTTGTGGGACCACCGCCATTAGATAACCCCAAGGGTCAAATTTTGGCTTATACAGATGATCCAGGTCAAAGTTCTAGATAAAAGACAGAAAGAGGAGAGGGCGCATGTTATTCCCGTGCGCCCTCCTTGCACCAATCTCCATTAAAGGTGATTGAATTTCATAGTCACGAACAACAACTTGGAAGACTCATATCTCCCTCGTTACGAGTCAAAACGCACTCAAATTTTCTGAGCATATTCTTCTCGTCAGGATGAGCATTGTGATATATAGCATGCCTCATGACAATGCCCGAGAAAGGAGAAAAGCTACAAAGAAGATGACCATTTGTGATTAAGGCTGCAGGAAAATCAGCAGTAGCATGACCCACTCGTGCGGCCATATCACGGTGCTCGCGTACCTGATCGACGTGAAACCATTTGCATTGCGTGCGTAAGGTCTAAAGCTATGTCTGGTTCGAACCCCTCATGTGATGAACGGTTAGATTTTTCATACAAAGGTATTAAAATCACTGTAAAACTCCAGCCACAAGAATCCAAGTTCCGATCAAAAACCCAAGATAGTAAAATCTTCGTCCGGGCACAAAATCAAGCTACGTTTGTTGCAACGCGATCATGATGGTATGATCAGTGCAATTAAGCAAAAAAATCAAAGAGATACATTAAGAAATGAGCACACTATCGATCCGAAGTTTTCAAGATTCGTACAAACTTCGAGTCTCATGATCGTGGCTTAAAAACACGATCCGTGGTTCGAAGTTGATATCAAATCGATCGTCAAGCCGAGCCCAACGAGAAAGCAATCATCCTTTGGTCAAATAGAGGCCTGAGCAACTCTGAATCATCCATGGAGGATGACGTTCTAGGGAAGCAATAGGACTGTTTTAGAATTTTGTGTATTATTGAACAAGTCAAAACCATAATTTTGCATCCATTTTTAGATTTTAATTTAATTCAAATAAATTGTAATTATCATCAATTAGATTAGATTTTGGGCATCCACCTATGTTTTGAGCTCAAGTCTATAAATACCACAATATACCCCATTGTAATGGACCTTCAATTGGATTAATAAAATTTAGAGTTAGCTTTGAGATTGAGGGCCACGTCCGAGAGAGAGAGAGAGAGGAGAGAGAGGAAAAGTCTAGTACCCCACGATGAAGGTAACTTTCTCTCTCCTCTATTCTCTCTCCTTTTTTTTCTTTCTCCTCTCTCCTCTTCTCTCTATCTCTCTCCTTTGCTTCTTCCCTCTATATTTCTCTTCTCTACCTCAACATGCACAGTAATAAGCATCATCATGAATGTCTCTCTTTCGCTCTTTCCCTCTTCTTTTGTCTTTTTCTCTCTCCCTCTTTTTGCCTCTCTCAACATGCACGGTAGTAGGTTACCGCCGTGTGTGTCTTTCTTTCTCTTCTTTCCTCTTTCTCCCTCCTCCCTTTCCTAATATTCTTTCTCCTCTCTCCTCTCTCTACTTTCTTTCTTTTTCTCTCCTCTTCAGCCATGCACAGTAGTGTCGATCGTCAAGTATGACATCCTCTTTCTTTACTTAATCTCCTGGAACATGCATAGTGAGCCGGGTCTTAACCCGAGTGGCGGGCCGAGCCTTTGTCCAAGTTCCTCTATCCCCATGTTGTACACGACGATGCTCATCCCCCCGCATGACATTTATTCCCCTATTCTCTAACAACGACATTGAACTGGGCCCTTTCCCAAGTGGCAGGTCGGGTTATGTCTCGATCCCTTCTAACATGCACGACGATGCCTATCGTCACGTGTGTTGTTTCTTCTCTCTTTCCCCCTCTCTCCTGTCATGGACGGCAGAACCTATCGTCATTCATGTTCTCTCTTTCCCCCGCCCTCTGGTCATGGATGACGGAACCTTTCGTCGTCCATGTTCTCTCTTGCTCCTCTTCTCTTGTCATGGACGGCGGAACCTATCGATGTCTGTGTTCTCTCTTTCTCCTGTCATGGACGGTGGCACCAATCGCCGTCCATGTTCTTACTCTCTCTCTCTCCTATCATGGATGGTGAAACTCGTCGCTGTCCATGTTCTCTCTCTCTTATCATGAATGGCAGGGCCTATCGTCATCCATGTTCTCTCTTTCCTTCCCCTTTTTTCTCTCTCCTTTATCATGGACGACAGAACCTATCGCCGTCCATGTTTCTGTTCCTTCTTCTTTTCCTCTCTTCTCTCTTCTCTCTGTCTTTCTCTTTCTTCTCCCTTTTCCTTCTTTCCCTCTCTTCTTTCTTCTCTCTCTTATTTTTGTCTTTTTCTCTCTTCTTTTATCTCTCTCCTCCTTCTCTCTTCTTTTTTTTTCTCTCTTTCTCTCTCCTCTTTTGTCTCTCTCTTTCTTCTCTTTCTTCTTTCTCTCTTCTTTTCTCATCTCTTCTCTTTTCCTTCACTTTCTTCATTCTTCTTTCTTCTCTATCGTCTTTCTTTATTCTCTCTCTTCTTTTTTGCTTCTCTTTCTCTCTCTTATTCTTCGTCATTCTCTCCCTTCTCTCCATTCTCTCCTCTTTTCTCTCTCTTCTCTTTTCCTTCACTCTCTTCTTTCTTCTTTATTCTC